GGAAGAGCAGATAGCTTAATCCACAATGGAAATGCCGAATTGTCAATGTCTAAAGCTTGAATTCCAGGGACCCAACGCCATAGACAAATGAGCTTCTTCCAATAATGCCAAGGTCCCCCCGCAGACTGACTATTATGGAAATTGAAAAAGTACGAGACGATCTTCAAAGGAAGAAACCTTAACCTCACCTTCACGACCCCAAATCCAGTTTGCCAAAAATCGAAGCGAAGATAGAAATGGCGGCGATCCAGGAAATTGACCAACGAGGCTGTATTCCCACCGCTTCACTTCTTCTCCTACAACTGACTTTCTGATCCGAAGAGAACCATTCACAATCTCAGACTCTTAATAATCAAATCCATAATCAGCTGAAACATGAAACAACGATGCCCAAGTCCGGCCGCTAATGGCATTGCCTGCAGAGGCACCGTTAGTGACGATGGCCATCAGATCGTGATAAGAGAAAATCAAAGAGAAAGGGAAGAGAGAGAAAAGGAATATACATAAATTTTTGATCAGGATTTTAATTCTGCTCGTGGCTTCTTTGTATATAAAAAGGGTCCAATGTGATCGACTATTGTATTTGAGATTCATAATAAAATCGAATGATACATTAACATCCAAACGTCATCGGGACCTACTTATTACAAGGAATTTTTCAAGCCTTGAGGTACATCTATAACTCACCACAATTGAGCTACTGGTTCAAAATTTTACCTTGTGGAGCCCCATTATATAATGTCAAATACCTTATTATCAACATAAATGTCAAATCCCCGAAGCAGGTCTCTATCAATGATTCGACCGTAAAACCCTCTTATTGGAGCTAAACTGGTAGACGAGTTTTAACAATATGAAACAGTTCGACCACAATTTCAATATAAAATAACATACCACTAGTTTTATTTTCATACTTCTATAGTTTAGGGAGGTGATTGTAATTTTCCTAAGCTATTCCGTTCCTTTTTGTGTTTTGGCACAACCCTACAACTGTAGTAGGGTATATAATATATATATGGGTCTCATGTTTTGTTGATGTAGTAGCTTGTGGAGAGCAGCAAATTGAATAATACAATCAAACGGAAAGCTCCTTATGGAATTTTTCGTGGAGTAGTCTCGTTCTTCACAGAACGGGGAAACCACATAAACCGAGGGATTTGTTTCCAGAAATACCACAATTAAAATATGAAATTTCAAAAATACCACCTTTTTCAAAAAAAAATTCAAAAATACCACCATTTCAGGAAAACCGCCGCATTGAAAGGCGGTTTGTTGATTAACCGCGTGGTAAACAAAAGGTTGTATTTTCAGCACAAACCGCACCCTCCAGCGGAGGTTCTATGGCTGACCTAGACGAAGACGCTTTTTAACACGGCGGTTCTTTGTCGATAATAGAAACTGCTTCATTACCAGGCGGTTTGAGCTGACGACACACAAACCACCTGTGGGGGCGGCGGTTTGTATATAGTCTCCATCCCCCCGACAGCGGACATGTCGGCATGCAAGGGGTTGCAGACGAGGGGTTGCATGTCAGGTGCAAATCGCCCCCTCCCCCATCGGTTTTCAGTGGACATTTTTCCTATAAAAGGCAGCCTCGGAAACTTCAGCTCTTCACCCCTCTCCTTATTCTTCTTCAAATTTATGTTTTGCACAGTACTTTTTTGAGTTTTTGCGATTAACGTTATTTCATAAGTTTGTTTTGTATTAATTTTCATTGTGATTTTTTATTTTTATGGTATTAATTTAGTTGCGATTTTATTGCAGATGGCATTCCAAAAGGTCACGCTTGGGTTACGGTGGAACGGTGATACGGAAGAGACCGAAAAGGGGTACGTTATGTCGGTGAAGTGAAGGTCGCTACAAGAACAAACCTTGAAGAGTTCGTCAAATGTGTATTGTGGTTACTTGCATGGATGGCACGAGAAGAGTTGATCTTATGGTGTATCAATATCCAAACAGACAAGGCGGGTCATTGTGGCATGAGGAATTCCTGATAACCACTCAGACAGAAGTAGATGCCATGGTCGAATTTTGATCGCCAATAACCTTTCCAAAGCAGAGATGTTTGTTTACACCGAGTCGGTCGAAGGCGTGGAGGTCATTCTGGAGATGGTCAAACATCTTGTATCCACAGTGGAGGTGGATTATATGAAGATCATCCCTACCAAGGTTACCATGATCCTAATTCCTACAATGAGTACCAAGAAGGAGGTGGAGTTCATCATCAATCATTTTCATCATATGAAGAAGAAGCCCAATGGTACCATGACAACCCACAAGAAGGCTACCAGTACCAACCCGAATACAACTTCCATGCAGGCAGCAGTAGTTATCACAACTACCATTACGAAGCTGATGAAGGTGTCTTTCATGATCTGGATCAGATGGAAGATGCCCTGTCAGGTCCATTTAGTGACCCTGAGGATGAAGAAGAGGAAGGTGATGTTAGTGCATACAGCTTGCCTATGGTTCCACAGCGGTTGGAGTGACAAGTATTCATCTTGCCTATGGTTCCACAACTCGATAATGTCCCTCAACTTGTGCGGCCAATCACAAGCACCTTGCCGACCATCTTTCCCGTGGTACGCCTTTTGACTTGCGGAGACCTCTAAGGGTAAGCATTGCTCATGACCAAATTTCCCTAAGCAGCGATCCGGCAAGTGCCACTCCATAATATGGTAACAAATGAGTGGGACTCACGTGCACCATTGATCGGGATGCTCCGGGAATTTGTGGACGTGATGGTGAATGACGTTGTCAGGGTATGAATCGAATATGAGCTACAAAGGAGAGGACCAAATTTAACCATTCAATAAATATAATAATGCACGTCGAAAATAGAAAAGGAAGTATATGTATTATAATGGTTACCTCTGCTCCCCAAAGGTGATCCAGCCTCCTACGATACTCTTCCAGCTTGTCCTCGATGAGGTTGTCGCATGTTGATTGACCAATCCACCTTATACACAATGTTATAACTAACTAACTATTGTACTATCAAATCATGAAGTGTGACAAAAAATGAAATTGGTATGAGTGGGTAGGAGAAGTTTCCCTACAGCCATAAGCTTGGAGTCTATGGGGATGGTCGGGTCCCCATTCCTTGTCGGGTTCTGTGACCGGCACAATCCATGGCCGATGCCCCCAAGCCCAAATTTGGACAATGAACATCGCCCCATCAATCTCCTTCACTGCTCTCGGAGTTGCATTACAGAGGGAACGGTAGATATGAGCTAGGCAAGCGGATGCCCAGCTCAGGTTCCCCATAGCCTCCCAAGGACTAAGGAGGATCTTCAACCTTCCATTGTTGATTAAATTGTTCGATTTTTTGGGGAAGAACGCTCCTCTAAACATTCCGATGAGGTAGACATGAGCATAAATTTCCTTGTCCGCCTCCTCACTTTCCTCGGTGAGGGAATGTCTTCTTCATTAGGGTCGTGCTTCCTCTTGATCGCCGTTGTCAACCAAGTGATGGATACTTGGCCCTTCCTCAATGGTGCTTTACCATCCTCATCATCTTTTCCTTTTCCCTTTTCTGGCACCAACAAAGCCAATCAAAAAACGGACTACTGATCCATCTCGTCAACAATTGAAGGTGGTGGATGATCGTCTACACACACAACATCGCCATCGATGGGCAAATCGGTTATGATGGCGATGTTCTTCAGTGTGATGGTGTTCACGAAAGTTGAAGTTGTTCCATGGGAGCACATTGCTCGTACCCCTATAGCAAACTATATGGTGTGCATCCTAGCGAAGAATTTAACTTTCACCATAAGTTTATGATTTATAAATATATAAATCTATTATAACAAACAATATAAATTCATTATATTATTTTGTAAATCGTATTGGTTGTTTTCAATAATTTAAAACAATACAAGTACACTCGTTAGACTCTTATTAGAGGTATACATCTCCTTAGAAACACATCATTTTTGACAGAAAAAGGGAGAATCCGAGAATCGCTTAAAACTCTATTATCTCAAGAAATGGTAGGAGCATTATGATCGCTTAATACCTCATTTTCTTAGACATGCATCTTTTAAAAAGAGTCTAAGTAAGTGACACATTGTACTATACTGAATAATTGAAAAAAATCAACATGATTAATAATTAACAACTTTATTTTACAGACCACTACTTACGTTAACAAATAAAAATGACAAATGATGATAAATTATATGTACTTTGTGATCGTTCCAAACATCCCTTAAGCGATGATTAGGTTGGTCGTATAGCACAGATGAATCATTCGGTCCTTGATCAAGATAATATCTTTGATTGTATATATCCACGTCCTCCCCCAACCTACGATAGTATAACAACAACATAAACTTATTAGTATATAGATTAAAAACAATTATAACAACAACAAAAATTTGGTAAAATGAGTACGTAATGTTTAATAGTCATCATAATAAATACTCTCTTCTTCGTACCAATCATCCATTTTTTCAGGAAACTGAATTGAGATTCGACAGGTTTTGAAGGAAAAACCAAAGAAATGTATTCTACGTTTTCCAACGGTTTACGTTTTCAGACCGCATGTTGGGGGGCGAGGGGCAGTTTGGGGATTTTACATCAAACTAAAGTCACTCCCCCCGCCAACGGTTTACGTTTTCCAAACGCAAAACGCGCTTCGGAGGAGCGGTTCCCTATCCCAAACGCAGATCAGTGAGCTGGCAAGCGATATTCCGTCGGATCGCGCCTTCATCCGACGGTTCTGCGGACCGCCCATTGCTACGCGTTTTGTCAGCCGCCCTAATGGAAACCGTCTCTCCAGTGAGTGGTTCTTCTTTAAACCGCACCTTCCCCAAGTGGTTTTCATTAAATGGTGGTATTTCTGAAATTATTCCGAGTTGTAGTGGTTTTCATAATAAATTATTAAATACAAAATTGAAGAAAAAAACTCAGAAAAATCAAAATATTACAACATCACCCCACTGCCCAGAAATTCGGTTCGGTAATTTTCCGGTAAACCGAACTGAAAAACCGTCCACAACTACTCCTTACGGTAAGTCGGCAAAACCGGTTTGTAACCGTTTACCGGTAATTCGGTAACCGGTAAACCGGTTACAAACCGGTATCAGTAATCGATTCCCCCTTACCCACACTCTGCATACCGAAAACCGGTAAAATCGGTAACCGATTTACCGATTGAATACCACCCCTAACCAGCATGCTCTACTGTTCTCTCATTTCCAGCAGTTAGGAGCAAAACTTCATTATGCAACAAAACACAACACTGACTTTTTCAACCACAAGCCTGTAACAAACCCACGTTCTTGTTTTGATTTAAGCCCTGGAAATGACTTCTTCCCATTTCAATTTATTCCTCCATACTAGGTTTTTATATACATGTCCACCGTACGGGGCACTCTCAACATTGAACCACGTAAAAGGAAGGTTTGTCCAAATAATACCAACAGTAAAAATATTTCAGGTAATCATCCTGCACTAAACAAGTCATGCCTGAACAATATACCAAAGGACTGAGAGGAACGACCAACAGATCTTAATTTTCACCAATCTAATTCTAAAGAACCTTGGAACACCATTGTAACAGTTATACGCCGGTTCGAAAATCACACTTGTAGAGACTGAGTGAGATACCCGATGCCTTGCACGACAAGTTCCTCTATTTGATCGGTTCTGAAGCTTCTGTTGTCAAAACTTCTATTGGGCACTGAGATACATACGGTTTGAGCTGAAATCAAGGCAGAAACATTATTTCCATTAGCAATCAGAATGAGACTGACCTCCAAACATCCTCAAAATCAGACAGAGCCTGCCTTCAAAGATCCTCAAAGATAAACTTGAGAAGTGAAAACAGCTAAAGGGAAAACATCCAAGTCATAAGTCGGATTTCTGATAAAGTTAATCTTCTTCGTATGATTCTTTTAGCGTCTATATCTGAATTCCTCTAATATCTAGGGAATTCCATGGTAGCTGGATACTACAAGAACAAGAGCATGCCCTTGTTTCTTTGAAAAAAATCTTTATGCTGATCCAATTCTAGCATCATTAAAAGGGAACTTAGTGCCTGAACTTGAGATAACTTCAGCTAAAAAGATATAAAATGTTTGATTGATAAACGATTCCAAAAACTAATTCAAAGAGCAGAATGACCTATCTTAAAAATAATTTTTTTCATAGGGATCTTGTTGAATTCCTTTAAGTCGAACAATATCATCAAACAACTGTTGCAAAAGAAATATGTGACACATGGGTAAAAGGTCTTCATATATAAAAGTTTACAAAAGAACCCGCAGCTGAGTTTGAGAAGTGACTGGAAAGAAACAGCATGAAACTAAATTTACATCATACAGCTGCAGCATCAAGTATAATTGGGAGGGGTTACAAAGTCATAGCAGTTACTTTACATAGCTATCCTTACACAAATGCGCATCATTGCACATGACAGCTAAATCTTATAATGGCTACTGGCTTTTAACATCGTATAAATTTGAAGCAAAGAAACCTCCAAGTGACTTAATAGCACACATTATAATTTATAAGACGACTTTTAGGTTGGCAGTACCAGTCTAGACATATCTTCACAAACACAAGAAATCAAGAAAGCTCTAATGTCTTAGCACCACAGCTCCAATTAAACAATTCCCCATACAAAATCTCGAGAAATTCACCGTTAAAAAACGGGCACCAAGAGCAGAAAATTTTACCATGAAGTTCGTCAAATCAGGGACTACGTAGTTGGGCAACTTCTCCGGCACGATAACATAACCACCTGCAGAAGGGTTCTTTCATGAGTCGATGCATATGCTTTAGCTTTCTTCAAAATCATAAAACTTCAACTATTGGAAAAGAAAACTGTAGTGCGAATCCGTACAAAAACCCACGATTGGCAATGCACATATGCAACAGCAGTGACACGATTTTGCCAAACGCAATCCACCAAACAATGTGGTTTAAAGCTGGAGCACATTACTTTGTGACAAGATGCACCTCAACGGCTCAGTCCAAATCCTAACCAACAAACACACTGAAGAGGGGCAAATTCTCGTTCAAACACACTGGGATCCAATTGAGGGAAACAACCTATGCCACTACACTCGCAAGCAGTAAACCCTAGAATCGCGAAGCAAAACCAGTAAGAGAACCTAGACTGAAGGAAGCAACAGAGGCGAAATTGAAAGAGACGAAGAAGGCGCACCTTTACGGGTGTGGAAACCAGTAGGCTTGCAGTTCTTGCCCTTGTAGTAATTGCGCGGAGCTCGTTTGGAGGACAGAATGTCAAGCGACGACGGCCGCTTCCTCCTCATTGCCCTTGCAATCCCCGTTATAAGACCCAACGGCATTTTCGATCTGAAGAAGAACTATGTTTATCAGTCCCAACAACGAAGCATGCCCCCAATTCCTCGGTTGGTAGGAGCTACTACAGGACCAACCGCAATCGATTGTCGAACGAAGCTCTGATGCTACAGGTTCCCAGTAGCTGTATAGGGTTCTGCTACTCAGCAGATGGCAGGGGTGAAAGGCAGAGAGGGTTTAAGCGAAGGAGGCTACAGTATTTCAGACGGGCCCTGATCTGGAAATAATTGTCAAGGGAAGCCCAGCAGCTCGAGCTTTTTTGTCATTAGCCCAAGTGAAGTCCAATGACTTTTAGTATTGTCCCCTGGGTTAATAACGCCAGACAGCACAAAATTTAGGAATGACAAAAATATCTGTGACCGTGAATATTGGCTCGAATCCGGTCTAATTGAGTAAGATAAAACTCGAACTCGAAGGACATTTAGTGGGTACGGATAAAACCCAAACCCGGATATTGCGGGCAATGGGCGGGCATGAGGTTCTCACTATCCAACCCGAACCCGCTGATTATACACATGCATATGTATTTTGTCTAGAAATAATCATTATTTATCTCTAACATATTTTATATTTAGCATATAAATATAAAATTTTCATGAAATTGTGCTGTTTTAATTAATTTCTTAATTCTAGTGAATTATTATCGTTTTCCTCTTACGTAACGTGAGATTACACATGAATAATAACATATTAGTTAGAATTATGAAGAGAAATTATTACCCATGGATAACCGTGGATACCCGAAACCCGAACGGGTATGGACATGGTTTTGATTTTCTACCCGTTTCACATGTTGGTATGGATATGGGTAAAACCCGAACTATTTTAGGTAGAGTAACAGATATGCACTATCCGCCCCGATCCGACCCGACCCATTGCCATCCCTACATAAATTTAATAAAATTTGGTTGCATGCTAGTCACTTAAATATATTTTGTTGTAACTTAACCACAAAACTCCAATTTTTGTTGCATTGTTACTTTTTCATCTCAACACTATTTTTCCAGTTAATTAACAAGTGGTTCGAGCAACGCACAAAATTTTATAAGGTACCACGGATGTTACACAATGTCACAATTTTATAAGGTACCACGGGAGTTCGACTATTGATCGACTCCCGCGCTTTTCTTGTTTCCCATGTGTGACTTTCGTTTTACCAACTGACTTTGCGAAAAAAATAAAAAAAAAACAATAATAATGCTGCTAACGATTTCTTAAGAGTGTCCCATGCTATCTTGAGTATAAAAAAATTTGCAGTTGCTCTGGGAAAATGGCAGGGGCTTGCTTTCCTAGCTTAACAAAATGCACTAGATCCGCTTGAAGGGTAACATGCTTACGGGATTTCAATTTGCACTTCAATCCATTTTGACCAAACCCATGAACCTACAGAAATAAGAATATCCATTTTTAACCAACCATGAAATCCAAAACCCAAACCGACCGCATGCAGGAACCAAAAACCATTTTATCACGCACCTACCTCTGCTTCGGACGAGGATGGTGGCTAACAAGCTCCAATATCAATTTCTGCAACCTCCATGGCATTGCAGACCCACTTGGGGACGTCACCGTTAGGAAACTGCAAAAACAAACAAACAGCGGTTCTGTAATATGAAGCCTATGCGAAAAACGAGCCGCAAAAACATCTTCAACAGCTTCCTCATCTTAAGATAAAGAGTTTTCATGGGAAGGAAGACATCTGTTATTTGAGTATCATAGTTAAGGTGGTTGTCAGAACTCACCATTTTCTTCAGGAAGTCGCAGACAAACCTATTAAATGTGCAGAAACAGAGAAGAACAAGAACCAATGTATGTTAGGGCTGACCAGTCAAGTGTGTAACATACTAGCATGCATTTCTTCACTTCATAATAATAACATAAATGAAAGAGAACAGAATCTTTTTGGTGGTGGGAGCAGGAAACTGGAAACAAGCACATACTCCGGGAATCTTCCTTGTATGATTGAATAGTGTAGGTCTCTACTCAGCTGAAAGCAAAGAAGAGTATTATTACTAAATTACCAGGATGATTAATAAACATGATCCTTTTTCCCGGAATATACCTGTAACATGTAATACAGATTGTGATATGACAGAAGCTGTGACCCCATGGCATCTTTTGTGACAAGGGAATGGATGTACGCCCGTGAATAGGTTCTGCAGACCTACAACCCACAGTAAAAGCAGTGTAGTCATTAGCAATCACTTTCCACAACTGGGAAGACGCAAATTCTGCATTACTATCATACCATGCAAGCACAAGTGGGATCAACAGGACGAGTATCTTCTGCCATTGCTTTGTGTCTAAGCTTGAGCACTCCCTGCAGGTGTTACATAAGAGTATTATGAGGAAAATATTACCCCAGGAAGACAAAGAAACATATACTACCTCTTTACTATGATACACTTATTGTAATTTTTGGTGTGAAACAAAGAAGTTGGTAAAATTATATCAGAATCAAAGATTATAATAAGCACAATGAACAAAGTTTGATTTTGGGGCTCAGAGCAGGGGAGCCCCCACAGACAAGATGTTCAAATCAATTTTCTTTTTAATCAAGAGACTTCGAATGGTTTCAATGTGATCCACCTATAAAAATAGAAGATAAATGAAGTTCAATTTGGTATTGAATGCCGAAAGGCAGGCACCGGAAAACCTTCATAGAGAGTTCAGCGTAGAAAATAAAATTGCTGAGCTATTTGGTCTAGAACCAAAAGCAATTTACTGCCTTGAATTTCAATGCCTCCATTTATCAGTCCATTACAGTGATCACATTGTAAGAGAACAAGTCCATAGCTACACGCCATGTACAAGAAATAGTGTAAATCAATGAAAGCCTAGCGCCCTGAAAAGTTCCAACATGCAGGAACAACATAGATCTGAATAAAATCAATAAATAAATAAATATTATAATACATGGAGCATCGCATCAAGTAGGTAGTGTACTAGCAACTATTAGGAAATATATGTCTTAAGAATCAAGAAAGTATCACCTCTGGTGTAAGAGCACTGCCAAAACGAGCTGTACGAGTGGGATACACACAATCATACATGTCTGCTCCTAGAGCACTACAAACCACTATGTCCAGTGGATAGCCAACGCCCTGAAACATGAAAAAGCAAAACTAATGACCAACAAAAGTAGAAGCTAGGAGTAGTAATAACACCTAAATTAGGTACTTCCACACCCCTATTCTTGAGAGTGTTGATTTGAGAGTGTTTGAGAGTGTTTGCATCCTAATTAATTAGGTATTGGCAAGAGAGGGAATAAAAGTTAAATTTCCAAAGTCATCACTACCTATGGGGCTTGGGAGAAGAGAGGTAAACTATTTTATTTTTAAAATTTAGTGATGTGTTTCTCTCTTTATTTGCTACAACCAACCAATCGTCGCACTTATTCTGGTTGGTTGGATATTTGGTTTTCTACACTCAACGAACCATTACATCCACTAAGTTGGTTGGAAGATAAAGATAATATTATTTTGTTATTTTTTGTTCAATAAAGAATACACAACTCACAGATGTGTGCTCGTCTTTGTTTTCTCGGCAACCCAGTCAAACTCTGGGAAGCTCATTCCCAAGAATAAAACTCTCAGAATTATAAAAAAATACATCGAAATGTTCGTTATAATTAATTATTATTAGCTACATAAAAATTATGATGGAATTATCTAGGTAAAGTGACAAAATCAACACTCAATTGATTTTTTCCTAAACAGGTTTTTGGCTCTTTCTCCCATTGTGGCTCCAGGGACGCCCTAGACTGCCACTTTTTCCCCACCTATTGTGGATAGTCTTATCGTATACTTGACCTGAGTGGGTGTGTTAGTGTGTCAGTGAAACCTTTGCTATCAAGTAATGTACTGAGAAAAAACTTTACTGTACCATCACATATCGGGGTTTGTCTTCAGGCAATGCAGCAGTGCACTGAGCAACAACACGCCAAAATGAATCTTTATCTTCCCCGCCAGCAAGACCTCCAATGGCATAGCTATAACAAAATGTGACATCAGGCAGTTAGTTGCTTGATGGTAAACACACAGTATTAGTGCCAGAAGTAGAGAAAGGAATATAAGGAAATGCAAATATCGTTTCGCCATACCCAGGTAAGTTCCGTTTTGTCAAGGCTTTAACACATATATCCCTGATCATTTCAGCAGAAGGTGAATCATCAGTAATTTTGACAGACAGAAATGGGAGAAACAATGCCATAGAAAAGATCAAGTTAGTTGTTGAAGAATCAGGCAAATTAACCTTAACACAGGATCCAGACCACCTTGAACAATGGCAAACAAGTTTTGTTCATCTGGTCTCTGGTGTGCTGTTCAAATAAATCAATCCGAAGTTGAAACCAAGCAAGATGGAATTCTCAGGGTGATGGAAAAATAAACGGACAGAAAAGGAAGATGATTTAAAAGTTTAACAACAGATGATGAGCATCCAGGGAAAGAGGTTTCACAACAAACTATTAATCTCGTTGCATTTGAACAGGAACTGAAATGGTCAAAGCTAGGGATGAATGCTCTTGGTTCAGTCTTTACTGAAAGCCCACTATGAGATGTAACAAACTCTAAACATTCAACTTCCAAAAGTAAGGGCCGAACAATCTCTCGCACTGGTGATCAGGGCTATAGATGAGGTATATAAACTTAAAAGCTACGGCTTGGATATGGTCACTAACTACTTTATATTTGAGCAATAACAAAAGCTGACAAGTAAGCCTCGAAGAAGTTACCTGCAATGCACCTGTCTATCCATCGAATTGTGCGATACATTGCCTCCCCAATCCTTGGTCCAGTAGTGGTGGTTTTTACTACATCATCGAGAGCCATAATGATATCTGCACCAATTTTGTTCTGCAAAATTCATCAATAGAAATATTTCTACTGTTAGTTTCTCCCACCTTGTCAGGTTTGCCCTTTTTATAGATGATGTTGGACCTAAATTCTAAAATTTGAACCCAATGTGTGGTGGTTCGAGTTTTCTCTTTAATTAAACCAAAGAACAAAGAAGCCCCCTCTTTATAGTGAGAGAAGTCGCATAAGATGTTCAGAATAAGAACAGAAGGACAGGATATAGATCCCAAAGTGCCGGGAACTTTAGTGAGCAGTAAGACATGCACTGTCCTATTCCTACTCCCTGGAGAATATCTTCTGTAATGGCTGACTTGGTATAATTAGGGTACAAAATCCTGACTCTTTTATGAAATGACAACGGCTTTCTCAGAAATATTACTATGCAGTTACAGTTCTTATATATCAAATAGGGCTAGTGAAGGATAAATTGCTGCAACAATAACTAGAATCTGCTAAGCTGTTAACTTGCAACCAGACGAAAATTATGCACTTGGGCAATGAGAATTTTCATCCAAATATTTGACAATGCCAGGCAGAAAGGGAGAGTGCAAAACCATCTTACTTGGATTTGAATCGACTCCTCAGGAGTTAAGAGCATGGGGCTTCCATCCACTGGAGACTGGAAGAAAATGAGTAGTTAGCAGCAAAGGAAGACAGTTCCTCATATAATGAGGATTGTAAAGGGTGACACAAACAATCAGAAGATTCACTGAAACAGTTTGCTTCCCAGGCTTGACAGCAATGCACAGACAGAAGCAAAATCAGTAATACAAAAGACTTTTTATTTACGGGAAAATAACACCCAAGTTATAGTGCACATAACTTATTTGGTAAGACTCCGAATAAGAAAGTGACAGCATTCTGTAAAAAAGGTTAGTTACCACACATAAGCTTGCGTGTTACATTTGTGATTCTGTAATCACTACCAGCAAGAAAAGGCATTCTTGTTTTACAAATGAACATACATGTTTTGAGGAAGTCACATCTAGTCGTTTCAAGACACCTGAAAGCATGTGAAGATCTTAGCTTAGTACCTGAAATGTCACTCCATTTTCGGTTATATCAGCCAAATGCAGCAGCGACACCTGAAGTCAATAACCCCATAGCTATATAGATAAACAAGAAGCATCTGTATACATAGGTAATTAATGAGATAAACTTCAACTGAACCAGAAGTGAAACAACAAAACCAGAAGGAAATAAATAACAAATCAAACAACCATTTGGAAGCCACCAGAATCAGTAAGCAGTGCTCTAGGCCAATTCATAAATTTATGAAGACCACCTAATTCATTTATAAGCTCAGAGGTCGGACGTAGTGCCAAATGATATGTGTTCCCAAGGATTATTTGACAGCCAATCTCCTCAAGCTGGCTAGTTGTCAAACCTTTAATTGTCCCTGCAAGCATGAGAAGACCAACAATAAAGGAAGTTAAACCATTTGAACCTTGACCACAACGAATTGGGTATAGCTCAATTTTCGGGGGAAAAAAGAAAATCCTGACCTTGCGTCCCTACAGGCATGAACAATGGTGTCTCACATACAAAATGAGGGAGCGTCATTCGAGCTGCACGAGCACGATTAAACCTCGCCAGAACCTACAAGTAGGAAGAATTATGATCCATTCCACCTCTACATTCATAACGGCACATGCATAACATGTATTCCAGAGTTCAAAAGTGCAAGTCTGGAATGATAGAGTTGAGCATCCAAGAACAAGCAACATTCGCAAGTCTGAACAGGAAGCCTACTATTGAGCAGACTTTACGCTGAATCAACATGATTCTAAGCCTAGTTGGAAATTCTCCCAGCACAATCTAGCAAGAAAATTCGAGGGTCTTGGAGGCATTTTTTCAAACAGGTGAAGACCATGAGAAATGGAGAACTGGGAAAAGTACATTGCGAGTGAAACTACCAGAGAAGAGATAAGAGGTCGTTACATCGAAACGAAGCGCCATGGTGTAAATTAGTTTCGCTGATGGTTCGGTCGTACGAGTCTACGGCAGTCAGTCCCCTTTGTCTAAGGCGGCCAAGAAGAAGAGAGCTTCAGGAAATTTGCCCACGAATAACAGAGTAAAGAAGAGAAAGGAGATGATTATATAACTAATGTATGTGAATGAGGGAGAAGAAACTTTGAACTTACGAACGCGGAGGCGGAGGCGGAGGCGGAAGGTGGAGAAAGAGGAATGCAGTGGAGGTAGGCAGGCAAGAACTCACGCTGCGAGAGCGCCGGCGCGCAGTTGCTTGTTTCTGGTTTTCTCGTTATCCTTAGCCGTTTCCCTCGTTAACTCCAGTTTAGAACGATCGACAATGGGCCGGACCGCATCACCAAGTTTTCGAATTGGGCTATGGAGTGGGCCTTGTTCAAATGTCCAATATGCTAGGTTTGTGGACGTGGGGTCGTTGTGCAATTGTAATAGTGAGATTGTTTGTGGGCATCGGTTCGGTTCGGTCGAAACCGAACCGAAAAAATGGATACCGGGTCGGCTGCTTCCTCAAATGGCCAAACCGAACTCGAACCGGAATATAATTCGGTTCGGTTCGCCCGAACCGAATTATAGACCGGTTCGGTTCGGTTCGGTGGTCAAACCAAAAAGGACCTGCTGTATGTTTGTGAATGACCTGCTCATCTGTTTATGGCAGCTGCTGCCTCATTTTTTTAGAGGAACTTGAGACAACAAATAAGCACACAAAGTCTCAAACATCAATTGTCAACCATTCTAAAATTCAAGACAAGTACAAATACCAAAATCCACCATTCAAACATCAAAGTCTACCATATGAAAAGATAAATTACATCATACTTAAAAACATAAATTGAAACTCCAAAGTCCATTTATCATCTCTTGGTTCTTCATTGCTCCTTACTTCTTGTTTCTTCAATCTTGGACAATTGACTCCTTTGCTAGCCAAGGCCTAAGAATAAATAAAATAATATAGAATTATACATGAAAAAAATGGTTAGTGATGAATAAATATAGAGATAAATACAAATAGAATAAAACCATTGCTCTAAAAAGTTAAGATTACCTACTTGTGAGATCAATCATGCATGAAATCGGAACTATCACAAAAACCACTACTAGATCCATCGCCATCGGTACGACCACTTGTTACATTCGAAGTGGAAGTAGATGAAACAAGGTTATCTCTAATGGATATTGCATCCATCAACTTGTTCAATTCTGCAACATCAAACCAAAAAAATCAATATAGACTAATCATAAGCTAAAAATCAATCACAATGTAAATATGTAATGCTAGTTTTAAGATTTTACCTTCATCTATTTTGTCAACCTCTTCCGCGTCCTCCTCATCTAATGATGGTCTAGAATCACCTCGAATCCAATCTGAGCTACAAATTAAGGCCTCCACTATTCTAGGAGTCAATGAACTTCTGAAATCATCGAGAATCCTCCCACCGGCACTAAATGCAGATTCGGATGCAACGGTAGAAATTGGGACCGCTAGAACATCCTTAGCCATCATAGAAAGGGCTGGAAACCTCGAACAATTAACCTTCCACCAACCTAATACATCAAAGTTCATCTCCATCGGCTCATCAGCTTCACGAAGGTATCTTTCAAGCTCAGATTTGTTCACCGCCCCATCAATTTGCTCTCTATGTCGTTTATACTCAGCAAGAACATCAATCACATCATTACCACACTCCTCCACAATAGGAGTCAAAGTAGCAGTAGAAGCACCCTTATGTTGTTTTGACTTCCACACTTGTTCATAGTGAGCAAAGAGCTCAAATGTCGCCTTGCGCACATCTTCTGCCATACGTCCTCCCTTGCCATCTTCAGGATAGACCCTCTTCAACCCGTACTCCAGAAATCCCAGCTTGTACCTCGGGTCCATTACAGTGGCAATGTAGAGTAACTTGTTCATTTTATCAACATCACCCCAATACTTCTCATACTTTAGCTTCATCTTCTTAGCCATGACACTCAAGTCATAATCTTTTTCAACTTCTTCCACCCACTTGTTAATCAAATGATATAGGGAATGCACTTCTTGTAGAAACAAGTTAGAAGTAGTATAATGGGAACCTGAGATCTTCAAGGTGAAGTCATAGAAACGACCCAGAAAACCCATCATTCTCCTTGCATTATCCCAATCAGTCTTCTCAGGAACCCCAATTATGCCATGTCTATCTTTCTTGCTTTCCAAGTCCTTTCGAAATTGCTCGTCATACATTTCGTACATCATAAAGACCTTCTCAAACCTCTCAGCAGCTTGCAACATCAGGAATGTCGAGTTCCATCTTGTGGGAACGTCAAGACATAACCCTCGTTTGCCTTCTATCTTCTGAACTGCAGCAAACTCATGAAATCTTTTCAACCTTTCAGGTGAGTTTCTAATAAACCTCACCGCTTCCCTAATCCTCTTCACAGACAACGAGATATCTCCAAGTCCATCAGACACAACTAGATTTAAGATGTGAGCTACACATCTCATATGAAGGAATGCATTATCACAGATGCTAATACCTCTAGTATTGAACACTTCCTTCAATTTTGCAACAGCTGTATCATTGGAGGATGCATTATCCACGGTAATAGAGAATACCTTCTTAATTCCCCAACCATCAAGACAATCAACAATACCCTCAGCAATATCCACTCCCTTATGACCTTTAAGTTCACCAAAATTTATGATCTTCTTTCTTAACTTCCAATCTTGATCAATAAAGTGAGCAGTCAAGCACATAAAGCTATCTTGTTTGTTTGAAGTTCATGCATCAGTAGTCAAACACACACTTCCTTCGCAACTTTGAAAAAACTTTTTCAACTTGTCTTTCATCTCACCATAGAAACCAAAACAATCCCTAGTCATTGTTCTTCTAGAAGGAATATTAAACCTAGGGCAACATAGTGACATGAAGTACTTAAACCCCATCCCCTCCACAAATTTGAACGGAAGCTCATCAACGGTGATCATGTAAGCTAATCCCTGCCTTATAGCTTCTTGATCAAATTTCCAGTTAGTTAAAGCACCCTCATTCTCAATCCCAGTTTTCTCTAAGTTCAATAGTTGCTGAGTGGTACCTTTTATGCTCCTACAACCTCTTCGCATGTGAGCATTCATGGCATTGGTACGATTCTTTTGTGGATCAGCATCATACTCAATCCCACAAATGTCGCACCTTGACTTCTTATTGCCGTCCTTGTCATTGAACTTTGAGAACTGCTTCCAACATGGAGCACGTGGCTCCATATCTTTCCTTTTTGAGGATCGAATATGTGTTGTAGAACGAACACCAGCAGGAGGAGCTGAAGGATCACCACCCTCGGGCTCGGGAACTTCATTCTCTGATGATTCTTGGTCCTAAATCATCCAAACACAAACATAAATCAAACCATTCTTCATTTTTGACCCCTGCTGTCTTTTTTCTATCTTTTTCCTCTTAATGCTATTAGCTAGCTATCTTTTTTCTATCAATTAACAAACATAAACATATATAAATCGAAGTCAATCAAACCATGCTTCAGACCTCAATAGTTCAATTAGGCCCCTGCTGTCTTTTTTCTTGGTTTTTTTTTTATGCTAGCTAGCTTCATTTTACAGAATAGACATCAAAACTGGAAATAGATAGTTACCAAAACATGAACATCCTCGGTTGCAATATTTGGAATTGGACCGTCAGTGTGAGAAGAGCTGCCAGGATTTTTTCGTTTGCTGGATTTTCGATTGGTGGTGCTCATGGCTTTCGATGGAGAGAGATGGGCAGATGGCTACTGTGGTGACTTTTCAGTGGTCAGTTGCCGACTGCCGTCGACGAGGGGCGACAATGGGGGCCCTGCGCCTGCACTGCTGGAAGCTGGATGGTGGTGGCTGACTGGCTGTCGTGCTCTGCTCTGCTACCCCCGGCGCCGGCGGTGACTCATGGTGCAGAGATGGAGGGCGGCGACTCTCGACTCTCGAGACTCGAGTTGTTGTTGGGAGGCAGGCGTGGCGGCGACTGGAAATCAGTGATGGGAGGGCGGCGGCGACGACGACTGAGGGTCGGGACGGGAGACGGAACGGAATGGAGTTTTGGCAGTGGAGTGGAGAGACGAAGACGATCGATTCGAAGGAGACTGGCTGCTGGAGGGCGAGAGGCAGAGAGGGTTAGGGGTTGTTAGGGTTTGTTTCTTTTGGGTTGGGATTGGGTCCTTGGGAGGCTGGCTGCTAGGCTGGGTTTCTTCAATTGGTTGCCCCTTGGCCCATTACCAGCTTATACAACATTTCGGTTTACGGTTCGGAATTCGGAATTCGGTTTCGGGTGGTACCACCATGTATTCCGAAGTAGAAGGATTTTGCATCCGAATTCCGATCCGAAATGAAGGAAATTCGGTTTCGGTCGGTTCGGGGTCGGTTCGGTTCGGAGAGTTAAAACCGGACCGGACGCCCACCCCTACTATACATGTGTTTACAATGCATCATTTTTTTTTATTAGAAACAATACATATATTGTTTCTGTGATGTGACAGAAACTATCACTTAAAATGAGTGATTGTTATATCTCAATTTTTAGTTGTGATTGTTGAGATGGTTGAGTTGAGATTGTTGTCTTAAATTTTAGTTGATGTGACATACACAATCACACATACCAAACATTATTTTACAATGCATCAAATTCGACAATACATGTATAATATTATACATGCATTCACAACAATACATTTATTTAACAATCGCAACTTCCAAATGACTTTGGGGTCGTTTGGAAGTTGCGAATGTTAAATCATTGCATTGTAATGAATCACCATAATATAAATGCATGTATTGATACAATGGATGCATTTTAACAATACATTGTTTGGTTGTTGAGATTCTACTTTATGCATTGATTTACATAAAATTACTTTTATAGGAAAATGTCATATTTACCCTCAACTTTTAATATAAGACAAAAACTATTAAGGATATAAATGGAAAGAAAAAATTGACACAAATCTGAAAGCAACAATCACAACAATCACAACTTTTAGTTGAGATTGTATAATGCATAATTTTTTGTGATGTTGGTGGGACCTACCTAAAATAATGCATGCATTGTTTTACACTTTGGCACTTCCAAACATTGTATTGTGCACAATACAAGTATTCAACAAACACAACTCTAACAATCACAACTTCCAAACGACCCTGTATCTTTTCTTCAACGAGAATGATGGATTTTTTTCAGGGAGGACGGACGATGGATTCTCCGGCGCTGAGGGAGATGAAGCGAACGGTCGTGAGTTCATTTCGCAGAGACAACACGATCT